GTGGAGAAGGGGCCCCGCGGCCCGGTGCGGCCTGCTGTGCCTCTTCATCCCCGCCTCCCGCGGCCTGCCCGCACAGCAGCTTCCCCCGCCGCAGATGTGTTTGGGGCATTTTCTTTCCCTTGACTTGTCTGGTAAGAGCGGATTACCCTGCCCCAAGAGCTGCAGGAGAGCGTTTCAAAATCTTGGTGTGTCTGCTGCATACAAACAGGCAATCCAAAGAGCAAGCATGGGAGCACCCCAGCCCCACCCCAAATGCTAATGTTTCTGAATTAAGTTTTCCTAAAAGCGTTCCAAACAGCAGGCGCTTAACTACTGTGGAAGGTGTGGTAGGGTACAGCTCAGGTGCCTCATAAATAATGTGTCCTAAAAATCATCTCCTGAGACAGAGCAGTTGAGGGAAAAAGGCCTTTTGATTTGTTTCTAATGGAAACAGGACTCTGTTTTTGCTTTGTTCCTAGGTTCATCCGGAATTGTACGTTGACAAATCAAGGGGAGATAAACTGAAGATCAATCTAGATGTTATTTTTCCACATATGCCTTGTGCTTGTGAGTCAGACTTCTGGATGTTGGGAATAATTGTCATCATTGCTGAGGATCCAAGAGGCTCGGTGTGATCAGTGCTTCCAAGTGCTGCACTGCTGCCTGGGTCACAGATAGGAGGAGTTTGTGATCTCTTGCAGTTACCATATGCAGTGATTCCAGCCAGGCCTGCTAGGCACTTAAACCAGCACTTCCACTCAAGGCAGAGTTGTTTTTCTAGGTTATAAATGAGGCTAAGGTATAAATCCACTTACATTTTTGTGTTGTGTTGCACTTTGTTAGACAGCTCACTAATACTGAAAAGGCTGGCACAGAGTTTACCTGGGACTCAAGGTTTGACTGTCTTGCTGTTGAAATACTTCATCTCCTTTGGAAGTTACTTGGCAAGGCAAAACTTTTCCATTATTTTTTGTACTTAAATTCTGATTATAATGCAAATGCCATACAATAACCTTTCTCCAAAATGTTTAAAATACGAATGGGTGTTAATAAGCTCATTTAACTGAATTCAAAACAAAGGTACAGGATGAAGTGATGGAAAATTTTGCACGCCTTACTGGGTATTACTGCTGTGCATGTTATCTGTCTGTCCACTAATCTTCCCTGCCTCTTGTTCTGTTGTGATTGGTTTGGGTAATGCATTGGGCTCTCAGTGTAGTGAGTCTGACTTACTTCTGATCACTGAAGATATTATTGGTCTTTGCCTTCTTCATATTTAAAAGGGTGTGGGAAGGCCTGAGAGACTGGAAGCCTCTGCTGTTTTGTGGAGAGAAACTGTCAGTCTTCTAAGAGAGCATGTAGCCAGCAAGTCAGCCAGGCTGAGATCACAGACCTTCTCCATTGTTTTTGTGAAGAGGGACCACAAAGACATGTGCTGTTGTTGAAGGGGGAAGGGTGAGGGGATAGAGGTAGGAGGCAACTTTCAACCAATTTTAAGCTTAAATTCTGAAAATTATTAAATGTTTTGGGGTTTTGAGGAGGTTTGGTTTGTTTGTGGTGGGTTTTTTTTGCTTGTTTTTCTTTTCCCCTTAAGTGCGTTACCTTTCCGGGTAATGCTTTCTGTGGCAGTGGGAAAATCCTCATACACCAAACCAAACCTCACCCCATATTTAGAAGGGTCATTTAGGGTGCTGCAATGTGTGTTTTATTCCCTGTATGTCACTTGGCCCCAGCTGTACAAACTCTTCCAGTATGGCACATTCTAATCCCTGTGGCTGAAAAAATCTGTATTTTCACTGGTTGAATGCTTCCTCAGCCTGCCACAGGCCATAACAAATGTGTGATTATGGACCACTTTCTTTGCTTGCTGATTTCAGATTTGAGCATCGATGCCATGGATGTAGCAGGAGAGCAGCAGCTGGATGTAGAGCACAATCTGTTTAAACAACGATTAGATAAAGCTGGCAATCGTGTGACTCCAGAGGCTGACAGACATGGTAAGATGCTCTTTTGCCTTTCTTGTTTGGCATGCTTTCATAGTCTTATCTGTCACTGTATGCCTCCTTCGAGATACAGGGAAACAAGTTACAGGTGAGGAGCATTTAAACACCACAAACTCTTCTAGATTTATAGCGTGCAAATGTATTGAATTGGCAGATCAGGAAAATTCCTATTGCTCTTGGTACTTTTGCGAGGCAAATCTTTGCATAGTCTGTCTGAAATTATGACAGGGACTCATGGATGCATTTCAGCAATAAAGCTGCTGGGTTAATAGTCTTTTACAACTAGAAATCAAGCAACTGCTCTGGCAAAACTTGATCTTTAAATCACAGTGGGCTGGCAAATGGGAAGACCTGGTTAGAGGAAAAAGCCTCTCTCTAGAGAAGGCGACAGTGACTCAACTCTTAAGCCTAAACTCGCACCTTACCACATTCACATTGCGTGTGTTAATGTATACCTGATAAATATATTTCAGTTGATTTATCAGTTACAACTCATAGTAAGTGATTCTTGGCTATGTAAACCTCTCCTCTACATTTTCTACATGTTATGACTCATCATTGTACTTCAGTAAAAACCAGATGATTCTGGCAAACTGTTGCGATCTAACAGTGATACTGTCGTGACTTCTCCAAAACATTATCTCCTTCTTACCTTTTCAGGGAGATAGTGTAGTTCCATGTATCAGCAAGATCTGAGTTCCTTGGGGGTTTTCTAGTGAGCAGAGGTTAACCTGTGTGCCTTGCTAGCTTTGTCATCCTGGAGGACTGGGTGTCAGTTTTCCACTTGGGTTACTCCAACTCTGATCTTGTTTCACAGTAATATTTGACTGTGTTCCCTACATGTCTTGAGACAGGATTATACACTATGTGCTGTTGAGTGCACTTGAGTGCTATTTAAAATTTTGTTTGTGTAACAGATCCTGTATCAGTCACAGTTTACTGACTGGGTCTACTTTATACTATTTTAACAAAGTCTTCATGCAAGTAACATCTGATCAGCACTCCAGCAAGGCTTACAGATAGCCATTCCTTTCTGTGGAGGGTGTTCTTGAGAGCACAAGTGCTACTCTGCTTCTTGGTCTTACTTTACACCTCAGCAGGCTCTATGCATACCATTTCAGGTGGGCTTGGGTGCAGGATGTGCAGCTTCTGACACAAAACTGTTGCATTTGTGTGAAACACTCATTGTGCATAGAACAGGAGTACAAGATAGCATTTCTAGACATGCCTCATCACGGAATTTGCTTTTGTCTTAGAGCTGGGGAAAGAAGAAGAGAAGGTGTTTGATCCAAATTCTTTGGATGCTGATCGCTGTGAGAGCTGTTACGGGGCAGAGTCAGAGGACATTAGGTAACCTTTACACCTTTATGTATCTTCTTGGCACTTGAATTAATAGTTATGTTGTATGTGTGCTTTTTTTTTTTTCAAACTCTGTGCTGTTAAAGACCTGTGCCATTAAATCCTCCTGGGGCCATGTTCAGAGAATGATGAGAACTGCTGTGGTTTGGGTATGCCTTTGGAAGCTGCACTTAACAATTACTAAGAGCATGCAGAGTTAGGTTGACTAGTTTGTCTACATGCCTGTTAAAGGGCAGTGCAAATTGCACTGCTATTGCAGTAGCACAGAGATTGTACCTCGGCAAATGGAATCTTTTATGGTGTTATTTGGTGTCCAGAGGGAAACCGTGTAAAGTATTTCACCATTACATGAGCTGTCTTGGAACAAAACCTGTTTATGGCTTAGCCTTCTCTCTTCTGCTGAAGACTTTGCATCTTTACAGGAGCAAATACCAGACAATCACACAAACAATGAAAGTCATTCAGTGTTTCTCATTCACCCTACCTGCAAATTTTTTTAAGAATGGAGCTGTGTCAGTACATAAATTCTGGACTATCCTTTGCTATTATTGTCTTTGTAATAACCTGGTTTGTCTTATCTGCCAAATTCTGTCCTTCCCCAGAGGTGTTTCCATCTTGAGGGATTCATGATTCCAGCCTTCAGCTTTGTCTTGGGTCCAGCAAAACATGGAACCAAGAAAAAAAAAACTGGTTTTTTTTTCCGGTGACCAAGATGTTATCCAGAGGTAGAAGAGCAATGAAGAAAGTTTGCCCTTAACCCTCCCTCCAATGTTGACAGTTGTGCCCTAAAAACAGAGGAGAGAAGGAATAAAAACAGGCAAATGCTTCGTACATATGGGTTCCAAACTGCTCAGAACTGTGGGACACTGATGTTACTTTTGTAGCAGACTTCTTTGCCAAGGAGTGATGTGGCTGTCTAAATGGGCAGACAGAGAGAGCCCTTTTCAGACTCAAGCACTGCATTCAAACAGCTTGTATCCTCATGCCAGAATCTCAAAAAATACATGAAGAAGCTTAAGCTCCTGCTGGAGAATTAGGCCATTTTTTAAGGTGTAGTTCCTGATATTTACTTTATTGCTTTGCTGAAGAAAAATCCACCAAGGATCCAAGTCCTGAGCTGGAGTATCTTGTTATAGCAATAATAATGGTAAGATGGTGCTTTGTGCTTTTGCAGATGTTGTAATACTTGTGACGATGTCAGAGAAGCATACAGGCGGCGAGGATGGGCCTTCAAGAACCCGGATAGCATAGAACAGTGCAAGAGGGAAGGGTTTAGCCAAAAAATGCAAGAACAGAAGAACGAGGGCTGCCAAGTGTATGGTTTCCTAGAGGTCAACAAGGTGAGAGATGGGTTTTCCTGTGAACATGCTGCATGATGGTGATGACAGTGAAAAGGCAGACTTGGGTTGTTCCCTCCTTTTCCAGCTTTAGGTGTTTACAGGAGTGTAATGTAATAACCCCTGGGCTCAGCCAGATATTTGTGCCTGTTCAGTAGGAGAATCAGGAGAAGCAGTGGATTCAGCACGAGAATCCAGAAGAGTGGTGTGGAGGGGGCTAATTCTCTGTTTTGTTGTGTGGGCTGGTAGGAAGCACGTCGGAACACTGGGGAAGGGTAGCTTTTCCTACCATCTAGCTAGCGAGTCTTTCTGCTGAGGTTTCTGGAAGAGGAGAGGCAGTTTCTCTGAGGTCAGATTGTCCCACTTGTCCTCTTGTCCTTAAAACCAACCACCAGTGGATGCTGGACATAACAGGAGCCATCAATTTGCCATCAGAAGTGTTGGAGAGAGTTAAACATTATTTTCTTCAGAAAAACTGTGGAAGTAAGGCTATTGGAGTTGGTCGTCAAAGCTGAAAATGCTCAGAGGTGTTTTTTCCAACTGTTGTATCAAACTAGTACGAGATAGACCAGATAACCTACCAAAGGACAGGGCAGTTACAGTTACCAAATCCAGAACACTTGGACACTTAGGCTATGTACTCAAGTACGTTCTAGAAGTCAGGCCCAGGGTGACTTTTTTTTTTATCCACACTATTTTTTTTTTTTTTTTTTACATCTTTGTGTACCCTTCCTGGAGACCACATTCTATATTTATGAAAAGTAAACCTTTTACTCATGAATCCAGGCACTGTGATTTGAGCATCATGGGTACCAAACAGTTAGGGAACCCTCTATCACTAAGTGTGATGAGCAGGAGAAATTCAAAGGGGAATGCTAAAAGTGGAAGGGATCCAAGGGTAAGTGTCACTGGGGAAATTTCTGTGGGCCATTATGTGCTAGGAATCTTGCACACCTACATTCTCATCAAGCCTGCAGTTAATACAAGCAACAGCTTTTCACAGACATCGTGTGTGTAATGTAGCACGTGAGGTTGGGACATTCATATCTTCCAAGGGAGAGTGTGTATGATTGCTAGTGTCAGTGAGGATTGGCACCTAATATCCGTATTACTTTCATATTCCAAGATGAAATGTTACCAACCTTTGTCTTTGATATTTTTTTGGGTGGGTGGGTTGGTTGGTTTATTTTTACACCCACTGAAATAATTCGCAAAGAACAGTTATAACCAATGTAAGTATGGAATTATTGCTTTCCACATGACTGCCTGTGAGGAAGAGGGGGAGTTCATACCTCTTTCAGGATAATGTAAGCTAACATTGTCACCTATGAGAATTAGTTACGTGGTGCACATTTTATTTAAATAAAAGTCTAAAAATCCAATTACCAGTACTGCTGTTTATATAGATTCAGACCTTTTAATGAAAGATTGCTATCTCCTGCAGGTGGCTGGAAATTTCCACTTCGCACCAGGAAAAAGTTTCCAACAGTCTCATGTGCATGGTAAAGTATTTTCTTTTCCTGCTTGTGACTTTTGGCTTCCAAGTGTATCTGACAATTTTCTTTTAATATCTTGATATTGCTACACTCAACAGCAACAGCACTGCTTCAGTGGGGAGGGTGTTGTTGAAGTTTCTTTACAGAGGTTTAGAACCATCATGAACAAAGAGAAAAATGTTTTCTGGTGTTGTGGCCACATGGTTGTTGAAGAACTTGGAGGAGAATGTTCTCTGACCAGTCTCTGAGTCTCACTTGTTCTACAAAACTTTGCTGCTCTGCTATAAAACAACCTTAAGTAAGGTGTTCAGTCCAATGCCTTAATATTAGTATCTCTGGAAAGGATATTTTGGAGAGTACCTCAGGAGAATTTTAAAGCAGTTAAGAACTCAGAGTAAAATTTAAGTTGTAAAGTACTTTGTAAATTATATACATAAATACATTGTGGACAGAATAACAGTGGTAGTCTATAAAATTATCGAATCATAGAATGGCTTGGGTTGGAAGGGACCATTATAGGTCATCTAGTCCAACCTCCCCTGCAATGAGCAGGGGCATCTTCAACTAGAGCAGGTTGATCAGAGCCAGTCCAACTTGACCTCGAATGTTTCCAGGGATGGGGTGTCTACCACCTCTCTGGGTAATCCGTGCCAATATTTCACCAGCCTCGTTTAAAAAAAAAAAAATTCTTCCTTATATCTACTCTGAAGCTACCCTCTTTTAGTTTACAACTGGTACCACTTGTCCTGTCACAGCAGGCCCTGCTAAAAAGTCTGTCCCCATCTTTCATATAGGAGCCCTTTAAGTACTGAAAGTCTGCAGTAAGGTCTCCCCGGAGGCTTCCTTGCTCCAGGCTGAACAACATCAACTCTCTCAGCCTGTCCTCATAGGAGACCTGCTCTGCCCTCCGATCATCTTTGTGGCCCTCTCCTTTACCTGCTTCAACAGCTGCATGTTTTTCCTGTGCTGGACCCAGCATTCCAGAAGCAGTCTCACTAGAGCAGAGCAGAGCAGAGGGGCAGAATTGCCTCTCTTGACCTGCTGCCATGCTTCTTTTGATGTAGCCCAGGGTACAGCTGGCTTTCTGGACTGCACTCACACATTATGGACTTATGTCCAGCTTTGCACTCGCCATTACCTTGAAGTCCTCCACAGGACTGCTTTCAATCCCTTCATACCTCAGCCTGTATTGATACCATGGATTGCCCCAGCCCTGGTGTAGGACCTTGCACTTAGCCTTTTTGAAACATAAGAGGTTCACATGGGCCCATTTGTCCAAGTCCTGCTGGATAGCATCCTGTCCCTCAGGCATGTCAGCTGCCCCACTCAGTTTTGTCATCTTCAAACTTGCTGAGGGTGCACTTGATCCCACTGTCTTTATCATTGATGAAGATATTAAACAGTACTGATCCCAGCATGGACCCCTGAGGGATACCACTTGTCACTGATCACTTGTCAGCTGGACATTGAGCTATTGACCACTACCCTCTGGATGTAACATGAAATCAATTCCTCATTCACCCAACAAACTCGTATCTCTTCAATTTAGAAAGAAGGTTGTGGGGGACTGTGTTAGAGGCCTTACAGAAGTCCAGATAGATGACATCCATAGCTGTTCCTGTGTCCACTGTGATATAGTCACTCCATCATAGTATGTCTCTGCATTGGTCAGGCGGGGCTTGCCCTTGGTGCTGTCTTGAATCAATTCCTTGTCCCCCATGCCTCTTGGCATGGCTTCTAGGAGGATCTGCTCCATGATCTTCCCAAGCACAGTGGTAAGGCAACTACATCAGCCAATTCTTTCAGGACTCTGCAAGGATCTTGTTGGGCTCCGTAGACATTAATGTTCAGGTTCATCAGGTGGTCTTGAACCTGACATTCCCTTACAGTGGAAGGGACTTTGCTCCTTCAGTCCTTACCTTGTGTCTTTAACAGGAATTTGATTTAAAATATTTGTGGTTTAATGGAACGTTTGCAGTTCTCTTGATCAAGTTTTTGAAGTGTGAAATTTCACAAAGGTTTCACAAGGAGTTCCTCCTGACCTTTCCCCTTCCTATCAATTCAGTTTAGCATGGACCACTGAGGTAAGGGTCAGGGGAGAATGTGAATGTGCTCTGTGAGAGTAACTGGTGTGTTTGAAGAAACACAAGCAAGCCTTTGAGCACAATTTATACAGATGAAAAAGTACTTTTGTGGAAAAAAAAAAAAGCCTGATTTCCCCCACAATATTAAATGTTGCTAGTAATAAAATATTTCATCTCTTCCTTCAGAACTTGCTCTGTGTGCTTAAACTAACATAACCAGCACCCTCAACTACAGCCAGGATTTACAACTTCACAGCACGTGTCTCAGTTAAGAAGCATCTCTGCACTTTGTCTCTTCTCTGTAACAGATGTGACTGCAAGCCGGCTGTCCTGAGAAGAGAGTACTTTGTGTATGCAGAGGAGGGCATGAGACCAGAATGGCTTTCTGATTGCACATGCCCCAGAAGTCTTGCACAACTGAGTTGCAGATTCAGTGGAGATACAGGTCCAAAACAGAAAGGGCTTGTGTGGTTACTGCAAACCTTCTGGAGGCAAAGTTAGGAACATTGATCTTTTGAGTACAATGAAAAGTAGTAGGAAGAGCGATGATTGACAGGCAAACTTTCTGGGAACTCTTATCACATAAAATAATGAGGAAAAAAGGCCCCTAATATTTTTTTCTTTATGTGCAGCAGTTTTCAGCTCTTGAGATCTCCTGAGTCACTTATGGTCTATTGAGATGATAAAATCATAGAATGGCTTAGATTGG